CTGGTCTCTGCGTGAATCTGGGCGTGCTCTGGGGGTTAGTTTCTGCCAATCTCGGCCGCCTTTGCTACCTTGCTGGAAGTTGCGGGGGCAGGATTTTTTACCTGGCCCGGTAGACCCCCCGAAGCAGGAAGACCTGGTGATGCTCAAGGGCTTCGGAAGGATGCGATGGAGAGGAGAGGGCCTTCCAGCTGTTGCTGAACCCCGAAGTCTGGCAATCCCAGTTGGAATGGCTGAAGAATGCCGTGAATTGTAGTTCAGTATCAACCGGAGACCCCACATTTCAGATTTCTCGGTTTGGCAGGTGTATCTATTATCTACGGTAATACTGAATTTTGGAGGCCCTTTTATTGCTTTTTTTTTTTTTTTTTTGCATCAGAGGATGTCTCTGTCTTAGCCGTTTTCTGGGTGGCTGTTCTGGAGGACTCCTATTTCCAGCTGCAGATTCCTTCAGTTATTCCAGTGCTGCTTCAAAGCAGCAGATTATAAAAAGCTAATTGCCCTGCTCCCTTTCCATAAGGCTAACCAGTGCTTAGGGCAGCCTTTCTCAACCTTTTAACCCTGGAGAAACAACATAAGTTTCAGGTCTCAGAGAACCTCCGGACAAAAGTCTCTCTCTCTCTCTCTCTCTCTCTCTCTCACACACACACACACACACACACACACATATCACCCCCTCACAAAAACTTCACAATACAATTAATTTCTAACCTACACCAACTGCATTTTACAACAACAGCAAAACAGCAGGCCAGCAGCTGAGTTGCTGTGCATAAACATTCCCACTACTGTGAATCTATTATATGGTGCACAAAGTTAAAAAAAATGTTTTTTTTTTAATCACGATCTCCTACCAAACTCTAGTTGAGAAAAGCTAGTTTAGTGAATAAGATCAGTTCCAGCCTGCTGGTTTAGAAAGACTGCTTAATATCAGCTGGCTGAGAAAGCAGTATGTCATGCCACCGTTTGGAATCTTTGCTTTCTGTGGTCAGATGCTGAGTGTAAACATTCTGAATTATCTAAGAAAAAAGGAACCTGTGATCATGTTGTTCAGGCTGGCCTTTTATTTAACCTTTCTTTTGCCTTTTAAATTGTCCATCCGTTTTTCACACATTTCTCGTGTGGATGTTCATCTATGTTCTCGTAATGTTAGTTGTGGAAGAATGGTAAAATAGTTTTATTATCCATAGCTATAGTAACTAAGTGATGTGAATATCAGATGTACATATTTTTTTCTTGATCTAGTTATCTCATCCTGAAAATAATTCTGGGAGCCAGTGAGATCCGGGGAGTTGGTGGGATGAAGTTATTTATATGTAATTCCTTAGCATATAAGGAAACTTGCTGAGTGAGAGTTTTCATCTGCTGGTTTGTTTCAGGCAATAAAACTAATATTCCTAATTTACTTTCTTAATATTTTAGGCTTGCAGGTATCAAGCATTTGAAATAATATAGCAAGAATTTTTAATCTATCAATTTTTTCTGTTTTGCATATAATTAACAAAAGCAAGAATATGCTCATTGGGTAGCATTACTTTAATGTTCATACTTCAGGCTCTTTGAAGGTGTCTGATTAACCATTGCAGGAAACAGATATTCAGTGAAAGAGTCCCTTGGTTTCAGATAGCAGGACTGTTCTTATGAAGTTTACAATCTTAAATATACTTACTCAAATAATAACTTTGTGTGAATTTTTTCAGAGTATGAAACTAGGATTGTCTTGTAAAAATGTATTATTATTTACTAGAGCATTCCTTAATCTCCAGGTGTGCTGAATTATAACTTTCATAATTCCCAGCCAGCATGGCCTGCTGGAAGGCTATAAGTATACATGTGATTCATCCTGGCAAGGCAACCAGTTCTCACTAATTTTCATATATTCATTTCTATTTTGAAGTTGCTTAGGGATGTTTTCTTTTCATATATCACCTTCTGGGAAATTGGTTTCTTTGCTTTTTATCTAGGAAAGAAAGCTCGAACATTTGACTTCAATGCAATGTTTGAACAAACTCGAAGAACTGCTGTAGAACGAAGTAGAAAGATTCTTGGTGAGATATGCTGTACAAAAATTGATTTTATTGTATTTTGCTTTGACTATTAAATGTACACTTTCCTGCCTGTATTTGTACTGAATTCAGAGAACCAGAGACATCCCTGGAAGGCTACATTTTTAAAAATAAGTTATAGTTATCAAGAAGGAATATGTATATGAAAACTATAGTGTTTATGAAAAGCTCATTAATATGTTAGATGTAGCCTTTTTTTATCCTATCTTCCGTCGTCTTAACTTTTTAGAAGGGCATAAACTGATTAAAAAACATCACCTTCATCATTATCTTGCTATTTTTATTAAGTTTCTCTTTCATCCCCTAATGTAAGACAAACCAGTTATGTTTTTAAAAGATAAAAATATAAATCAATCCATTAATTATCTATTTATTTGATTTAAATCCCATTCTATTCCACTGGGTCAAAGGAAGTTCTGAAAATAAAACATGCAGTGATGTTTTAGCAACTAGGAGACAGCAGTGCATGGCTACTGAGATACACTCAGCTTGGTGGATCATAGAGTGTCTTAGCTTGTTTTACTATCCAAAATAAACCCAAACGTTTGAAATTTGTGAATTCTCAAGACTGGAGAAAAATAATTTGAAATGCTTGGTTTTTAATTGGCCTTATGATGGTCCAGTTCTGAAAACTCTGGACTCACCTGTTTAATTTATATATGTGGAATGATCAAACAGAAATTTGCAGAGGTTTATCTGTCTGGGTTCTTTTTAAGTAGGTGGCAGTATTACCATGAAAACCAGGATATAATAGTCTTTGGTCATGTAATACAGCAATTTTTTAGCCCTTGACTGTATCATTCCATGTTTCTTTCTATAATCATATTATCTATTCTATTTATTCAGAAGAGCGTGAGAAAAAGGCAGCTGAGCAAGAACGAGAACTTGCATGCCAGCATGGAGGTGCTGATTCATTAGCTGCAGGATCACATTCAGTAGAAAAAATATCTTCCAGGTATAAATATTATCCCACCAAATGGGTTTATGGTTTTCTTCTTCTTTTGGGAAGAACATACAGGTCCACAAACTAATGAAAAACTTAACTTTATTTACTCTAAGTTAAACAAAACAAGCTATAACCAAAACAAGCTGGAGTCAAAGCCCAAACGCCTTCTGAAAGAGCTCTGCTTTGAGCTCTGCTTCTGGAAGGCAGTCAGGGTGGAAGCCATCTCGATATCCACTGTCAGGTTGTTCCAAAGAACTGGTCCAGCCACTGAAGAGCAGTGCCATCGAACTTTGCCCCACCCCCCATCTCCATTAAGTGGGGCATCACTAATAATTTTTCCCAGGTAGATTGAACTGGTTGGGTCAATTCCAATGGAAAAATGCAATCCTGCAGATAACTAGGTGGCAAACTATGTAGGATTTTATGGGTGAGTATCAGCACTTTAGAATAGACCAAGAAGTCTGTTGGCAACCAGTGCCAGGTCCAAGGTGCTGGTGTAATGTTATCCTGTCTGTGAATGCTGGTCAGCACATGGACTGTTGGATTCTGAAACAGCTGCAGCTTCTGAGTGACCTGCAAAGGCAACCCCTTATAAAGCACATTGCAGTAGTCTAAGCTGTGATATTGAAGGAATGAGTTGCTGTAGCAGGATCCTCTTGCTCCAGGGGGGGTCACAACTGGCACACCAGCTGAAGCTGGAAAAATCCACCTCCCCCAACTGAGCCAAGCTGAGGTCCATGTACAGGTTCTACCAGGAGCAATGAAACCAGAAGAACTATAGATATACAGGTAGTCCTCACTTAACAATGGTAATTGGGACTGGAATTTCCATCGCTAAATGATGTGGTTGTAATGCATGACATCCCATGACCACGCTGCTTAGCAATGAAAGTTCTGGCATTTCTGGTGCTGTTGTTAAGCAAATCCCACACTGTTGTTAATTTGACGTCACTTGGTCGCCATTTGAGAGCTTCTGGTGGCTTTCCCATTGACTTTGTTTGTGGGAAGCTGGCAAAAAAAGTTGCAAATGGTGATCACATGTCCATAGGGATGCTGCAACCATCGTAAGTACGAGGACCGGTCATAAGTATCAGTCATTCAATGTTATAAGTTCAAACTGTTGCTGAATGAGTGGTGGTTAAGCAAGGACCACCTGTACATTCATATACATTAATGAATAATCGATATTAATTTTATTATAAACTAAAGTAATATATTAATCTGGACGTAATGCTCATTTTGATAACATTAATCTTACCCCAAATATTTAATGGAAGTTAAAGTCAAGGTTTGTCTACTGAAATTGCATCTGTTCACTTAGATATATTTAATCGAATGTATTGCAATATATTTCAAGAAAGATGTAAACCCAAGTATTTTATGGAGTCTATACAAATTGTAAACCCTAATCACTTACAGGGATCTATAGATATAGTAGTTCCCAAAGGCAACAAATTAGACTTGTTCATTTGGGAAAATAAGAAATAACCCAATATTAATTTTCAGGAAAAAAACCATTGCACTGTCAACAAGATTTCTTAAACATGATGTTTAGAATCTGACAGAATTTTAAAGAACAATTAACTTGATTTAATAGTGTTTCTAATGGTAGGATGCTGTGTGCACTATCTAATTAAACACAGGTGGAATTCTGAACTAAGAATTCTAGTTCTTCACCTATTCAGAACTAAACTGTATGACTTAAAAGACAGGATCTGTGTATTTTCTGTTGTTGGGCATTATAATTATTGTAATTGTTAAATACAGGTAGTCCTCAACTTACGACCACAATTGGGGCTGGAATGTTCATCGCTAAGTGATGTGGTCATTAAGTGAGTCATGCCCAATTTTTATGACCTTTTTGCCACAGTCATTAAGAGAATCACATGGTTGTTAAGCGAATCTGGCTTTCCCCATTGACTTTGCTTATCAGAAGCCCCCTGGGAAGTTCACAAATGCAACCATTGTAAATACATACTGGTTGCCAAGTGCCCGAATTCTAATCATGTAATTGCAGGGATGCTGCAATGGTCATAAGTGTGAGGACCAGTCATATGCCACTTTTTTCTGCACTGTTGTAACTTTGAATGGTCATAAACAAATGGTTGCAAGTTGAGGACCACTGCATTTTTAATGTTTCATTATGTACTGGACGTTTTTGTTTATTTTAATATTCTATAAGCCACCGTGAGTCTCAAAGATTTGGTGACGTGCATTTTATAAATAAATATTTTTTTCAAAACCAAGGGATAAGAACACCCATTACTCCTGTTTGCTTCTCTACATTCGGATGTCTTTTAGAGACAGCTTTGCTTTTCTTAAGGAGACCAGTAGAGGGCAGGTTACCCACAAAGCTCTCAAAACCCAAAAGGAGAATCATTGTTCTCCCACTTGCAGTAATAAAAAATGTTGTATAGGGAACAAATTGCATGAAAAGGTGCTTCCTTTTTTCCAAAAGCTAACTTCTTTGCAAGCACTGTGGTTAGCCCATCTGTGCTTGCACATCCCACCGTGCTCTGGCAAACCTTAGGCCATCTTTCTTGCCCATTCTCTTTATTTCTTTGCACAGAGGCTACTCTGTTCCATTCTAGACTATCATTTCTTCATTATTTGCAGCCCCATTTGAGTAGATGTGATAAAAAAGAGAAGGGGCAGGCTAGCAGTTAGTAGTCAGAATACCTGTATCAGCCATTTTGCTTCTTGTAATTCTTCCTTGCAGAGATTTGTCTAGTAGTGAAAGTGAAGCCAGTCTGGATGAAGAATTTGTTGGTCCCCCTTTACCCCCCAAAGAGCCAGCCGATGATTCCGATGAGGAGCTGATTGGCCCACCGCTTCCTCCCGGCTACAAGAGCGAAGAGGACGACGATGACGATGATGATGACGATGATGATGATGAGAGTACCCAGGAAGAAGATGAGGTTAGCTTTTAGTCTCTCAATTCACGCATGACAATAAACCATAATTTCTGCCTCGTCCTGCCAGCATTGTGAATGTGCCCCCTGCACATAAGACAAATCTGCAATATTTAATTTGCTGTAATTATTTTTTGTTGTTCCTAAGAATTATGGAAGGTAGCCATACATATAAAGGGTAGCATTTTATTTAGGGCAGTAACCTTCTCAAACGACCCAAGCATTGCCATTAATCAAGATGAATGCGCAAAGTAAGGCCTCAGCTGCAATGATCTTCTTTGGCTTGATATAGAAGACGCTGCTGACATACCAGCTGGGGCTTGTGTGGGAGCAACAAAATAGGGTTTCAGTACCACAGTAAGTGTTTGATTCAGAAAAAAGAGAGTCCCAGGAGCATCTGGGATGTATTCACAGCATGGCACTAGTTCATAAGACTTAGCTAAGTACAGAGAAGAGAGTTGGCCCATAGTCATTTAGGGAAAGCCTCAAAGCACATTGTATATTTGGATCGTGGCTTCTGTAGTACTTGCCAATACACCGTGGCTCAAGTTTGCACAGTAAGCTTATCTTTGTTTTAGCTGAATGTAGCTGGACAGATAAATCACTGTTTGCCTGGCTTCTCTTCCTCCTATCCAGTCTTCTCTGGGACATGGTTTTATGTTCAAGAACCTCCATCTCGTATCCATTAGAGGTATAGCCAAACCAGAGCAGTGGAGATTCTGTAGTCAGACCTGATCCAGCTTTTGGCTACTACAAGCCTTCATGATGGTTAAGACTTGCTTGGGGTGTTGACAAAACATACAACTAAATACAGGTTAGAGAAAGGATGGGCAACCTGTAGCCCTCGAGTTCCCTTTTTGTGATCCTCAACACTTTTTTTGACCATGATTGCTGAAAACTGTTCCTATACATACTATAATAGGTATGCTACAGTTTAAAGCAAAGAAACTTCTCTCAATTCCCTCCCCAAACCATTTTCCACACATATGTGATCTGCCCCCACTCACTTTGCAGCCCTCTTCCCCCCAAAATGCAGACTCCCCACCTGCTACCAGCCATTTGGATCTCTAACTTATAAGTATTATTATGCTTAGTATGACCGGAAAGCTTGCGGGACTATGGCAAGTGGTATGACA